CTGTCTCCGTAGCCTACTGTCTGTCTCTGTAGCCTACTGTCTGTTAGCCTACTGTCTGTCTCTGTAGCCTACTGTCTGTCTCTGTAGCCTACTGTCTGTAAAACAAAGTTATTAAGAGAAATTAGCAGCGTATATTTTGCTCCTGCTAAAGTAGACTCTGTTTAACGTTAGCTTCTAACTTCATCCTTCTAGCTGATTAAGTGATACTAGCCAGAGGCCTTCAACGTTGGTTAGTGCTGTCTGGGATCCTTGGGATGTCCCTACCCTAAACCTAACCCCTACCTTCACCTTCACCCTAACCATAAACCTTACCTAACCCTTACAATTTTACATTTCTACTTCAATGGGACTTCCCAAGGATTCCAAATAGCATGTACCCTTCAACGTTATTGCAATAGAAGTCTCTGCCGGCAGCTAGCCACCTGACTGACTGACATATCTATAAGCGACTATTTACCAGTCGTGCACTCATTCTCTGAGAGTCGTATTTTATTTTATTTTTATTCGGCAAAAATAAAACACAAAAATAAAACACACCATCAGCAGCATCTCTCGTTTTGCTGACTTCGAAATTAGTGCACTACATAGGGAGGAAATTAGTGCACTACATAGGGAGGAAATTAGTGCACTACATAGGGAGGAAATTAGTGCACTACATAGGGAGGAAATTAGTGCACTACATAGGGAGGAAATTAGTGCACTACATAGGGAGGAAATTAGTGCACTACATAGGGAGGAAATTAGTGCACTACATAGGGAGGGTGCTATTCTCTGGTCTAAATTAGTGCACTACATAGGGAGGGTGCTATTCTCTGGTCTAAATTAGTGCACTACATAGGGAGGAAATTAGTGCACTACATAGGGAGGAAATTAGTGCACTACATAGGGAGGGTGCTATTCTCTGGTCTAAATTAGTGCACTACATAGGGAGGGGTGCTATTCTCTGGTCTAAATTAGTGCACTACATAGGGAGGAAATTAGTGCACTACATAGGGAGGAAATTAGTGCACTACATAGGGAGGAAATTAGTGCACTACATAGGGAGGGTGCTATTCTTCTGGTCTAAATTAGTGCACTACATAGGGAGGGTGCTATTCTCTGGTCTAAATTAGTGCACTACATAGGGAGGGTGCTATTCTCTGGTCTAAATTAGTGCACTACATAGGGAGGGTGCTATTCTCTGGTCTAAATTAGTGCACTACATAGGGAGGGTGCTATTCTCTGGTCTAAATTAGTGCACTACATAGGGATGGTGCTATTCTCTGGTCTAAATTAGTGCACTACATAGGGAGGGTGCTATTCTCTGGTCTAAATTAGTGCACTACATAGGGAGGGTGCTATTCTCTGGTCTAAATTAGTGCACTACATAGGGAGGAAATTAGTGCACTACATAGGGAGGAAATTAGTGCACTACATAGGGAGGAAATTAGTGCACTACATAGGGAGGAAATTAGTGCACTACATAGGGAGGAAATTAGTGCACTACATAGGGAGGGTGCTATTCTCTGGTCTAAATTAGTGCACTACATAGGGAGGAAATTAGTGCACTACATAGGGAGGAAATTAGTGCACTACATAGGGAGGAAATTAGTGCACTACATAGGGAGGGTGCTATTCTCTGGTCTAAATTAGTGCACTACATAGGGAGGGTGCTATTCTCTGGTCTAAATTAGTGCACTACATAGGGAGGGTGCTATTCTCTGGTCTAAATTAGTGCACTACATAGGGAGGGTGCTATTCTCTGGTCTAAATTAGTGCACTACATAGGGAGGGTGCTATTCTCTGGTCTAAATTAGTGCACTACATAGGGAGGGTGCTATTCTCTGGTCTAAATTAGTGCACTACATAGGGAGGGTGCTATTCTCTGGTCTAAATTAGTGCACTACATAGGGAGGGTGCTATTCTCTGGTCTAAATTAGTGCACTACATAGGGAGGAAATTAGTGCACTACATAGGGAGGAAATTAGTGCACTACATAGGGAGGAAATTAGTGCACTACATAGGGAGGAAATTAGTGCACTACATAGGGAGGAAATTAGTGCACTACATAGGGAGGGAAATTAGTGCACTACATAGGGAGGGTGCTATTCTCTGGTCTAAATTAGTGCACTACATAGGGAGGAAATTAGTGCACTACATAGGGAGGAAATTAGTGCACTACATAGGGAGGAAATTAGTGCACTACAATAGGGAGGGTGCTATTCTCTGGTCTAAATTAGTGCACTACATAGGGAGGGTGCTATTCTCTGGTCTAAATTAGTGCACTACATAGGGAGGGTGCTATTCTCTGGTCTAAATTAGTGCACTACATAGGGAGGGTGCTATTCTCTGGTCTAAATTAGTGCACTACATAGGGAGGGTGCTATTCTCTGGTCTAAATTAGTGCACTACATAGGGAGGGTGCTATTCTCTGGTCTAAATTAGTGCACTACATAGGGAGGGTGCTATTCTCTGGTCTAAATTAGTGCACTACATAGGGAGGGTGCTATTCTCTGGTCTAAATTAGTGCACTACATAGGGAGGGTGCTATTTGAAATGCAGAATCATGGATTGCAGGGTTCGGGTCAATTCTATTTAAATTCCAGTCAATTCAGGAAGTACACTGAAATTACAACACCAATTCTCTTCAATGGTTTTCAATGAGGAAAGCTTCACATTTGGTTAACTTTCTGAATTGACTGGAATTGAAATGGAATTGACCCCAACCCTGATGGATTGACATGGCTTGGGTGTTTACAGTGAAGATAACAACAGTCACCATGGAGATGGTTACTGTTCAGCATAAAAACACAGTTGACCTTGATTCATTTAATAAAAATGCCTTTAAAGCGATGGATAATAACAGCACCAAAACTCATGAAGTTAAAACGCCTTTATTGATCAAAACAACAATCATAGAAGAAGAACATTATTTATTAATTAATTAATTGGATGGATGGATGGATGATGGATGGAGGATGGAGGATGGATGGATGGATGATGGATGGATGGATGGATGGATGGATGGATGGATGGATGGATGGATGGATGGATGATGATGGATGGATGGATGGATGGATGGATGGATGGATGGATGGATGGATGGATGGATGGGATGGATGGATGGATGGAGGATGGATGGATGGGATGGATGATGGATGGATGATGGATGGATGGATGGATGGATGATGGATGGATGGGGATGGATGGATGGATGGATGATGGATGGATGGATGGATGGATGGATGATTGATGGATGATGGATGGATGGATGATGGATGATGGATGGATGGATGGATGGATGGATGGAGGATGGATGATGGATGGATGATGGATGTATGATGGATGATGGATGGATGGATGATGGATGATGGATGATGGGTGATGGATGGATAGGATAGGAGGAGGAGAACGATTGAAGAGGACTGGTTGATGGATGGATGGATGTGAGATGGAGGAGTGAGGAGGATGAGAGAAGAGAGGAGATGAGGTAGTGAGGAGTAGGTAGAGGAGGACCAGAGGGAGACGGAACTGTTCCTTAGGTTAGTGAGGGTAGAGCAGGAACCAGAGGAAGAGACTGTTCCTTCAGGTTAGTGAGGGTTAGAGCAGGAAGCCAGAGAAGACACTGTTCCCTTCAGGTTAGTGAGGGTAGAGCAGGAAGCCCAGAGAAGACACTGTTCCCTTCAGGTTAGTGAGGGTTTAGAGCAGGAACCAGAGAAGACACTGTTCCCTTCAGGTTAGTGAGGGTAGAGCAGGAAGCCAGAGAAGACACTGTTCCCTTCAGGTTAGTGAGGGTAGAGCAGGAAGCCAGAGAAGACACTGTTCCCTTCAGGTTAGTGAGGGTAGAGCAGGAAGCCAGAGAAGACACTGTTCCCTTCAGGTTAGTGAGGGTAGGCAGGAAGCCAGAAGACACTGTTCCCTTCAGGTTAGTGAGGGTAGACAGGAACCCAGAAGACACTGTTCCCTTCAGGTTAGTGAGGGAGAGAGGAAGGCCAGAGGTAAGACAATGTTCCCTTCAGGTTGTTATGCATGCCGTTGTAGTCGTGTTCTCAGATCGATGTTAGTAGAGCAGAACCCGAAAACTCCCTGTAGTTATGGGGAGGAGAGGAGGGATGTACAGTGTGTTGTGGTGTTGTAGATGCTGTTATGTGTGTTGTGGGTGTGTTATGCATGTGTATGTGTGTTTTCAGGTGTGTGTTATGCATGTGTATGTGTGTTTGTGGGTGTGTTATGCATGTGTTATGTGTGTTTGTGGGTTGTGTTATGCATTGTATGTGTGGTTTTGTGGGTGTGTTGGATGTGTATGTGTGTTTGTGGGTTGTGTTATGCATGTGTATGTGTGTTTCTGGGTGTGGTTATGCATGTGTATGGTGTGTTGTGGTAGGTGTGGGTGGTGGGGGGTTTCTGTATGTGTGTTATGTGTGTTGTTTTTGTGTTTGTGGTGTTGTGTATGATGTTGTGATGTTGCTGTTTGTGTGGGTGTGTATGCATGTGTATGTGTGTTTGTGGTGTGTGTTTATGCATGTGTATGTGTGTTTGTGGGTGTGTTATGCATGTGTATGTGTGTTGCGGTGTGTGTTATGCATGTGTATGTGTGTTTGTGGGTGTGTGTTATGCATGTGTATGTGTGTTTGTGGGTGTGTTATGGCATGTGTTGTTGTGTTGTTGGGTGTGTTGTTATGCATGTGTATGTGTGTTTGTGGTGTGTTATGCATGTGTATGTGTGTTTGTGCGTGTGTTATGCATGTGTTAGTGTGTGTTTGTGGGTGTGTTATGCATGTGTATGTGTGTTTGTGGGTGTGTTATGCATGTGTATGTGTGTTTGTGGGTGTGTTATGCATGTGTATGTGTGTTTGTGGTGTGTTATGCATGTGTATGTGTGTTTGTGGGTGTGTTATGCATGTGTATGTGTGTTTGTGGGTGTGTTATGCATGTGTATGTGTGTTTGTGGGTGTGTTATGCATGTGTATGTGTGTTTGTGGGTGTGTTATGCATGTGTATGTGTGTTTGTGCGTGTGTACCTGTCGGTTTTTAACCCCATACATCAGGTCACAGAAGGAGGCCAGACTGGTTCCATCCAATTTGAACAGCAGACAGAGTCTCTCCTCAGACGACGCGTGGTACACAAAGTAGTACGTCCCCGACACACGGCATCTACAGCGAAAGAGAGGATGGATGGACAGACTGACTAGCTGACACTGACAGACAGACTGACTGGCTGGCTGGCTGGCTGGCTGGCTGGCTGGCTGGCTGACACTGACTGACTGACTGGCTGGCTGGCTGGCTGGCTGGCTGACTGACTGACTGACTGACTGGCTGACACTGACTGGCTGACTGACTGACTGACTGGCTGGCTGGCTGACAGACTGACTGACTGGCTGACACTGACTGGCTGGCTGGCTGGCTGGCTGACACTGACTGACTGACTGGCTGGCTGGCTGACTGACTGGCTGGCTGGCTGGCTGACTGGCTGGCTGGCTGGCTGACTGACTGGCTGGCTGGCTGACTGGCTGGCTGGCTGGCTGGCTGACTGACTGGCTGACAGAAATGTTCCCTCCTCTGCTTCCTGAAGTCAACAATCTGTTGGATCTGTTGGATCTGATGGATCTGATGGATCTGATGGATCTGTTGGATCTGATGGATCTGTTGGATCTGATGGATCTGTTGGATCTGATGGATCTGATGGATCTGTTGGTTCTGATGGATCTGTTGGATCTGATGGATCTGATGGATCTGATGGATCTGTTGGATCTGATGGATCTGATGGATCTGATGGATCTGTTGGATCTGATGGATCTGTTGGATCTGATGGATCTGTTGGATCTGATTGAACTGATGGATCTGATGGATCTGTTGGATTTGTTGGATCTGATGGATCTGATGGATCTGTTGGATCTGATGGATCTGATGGATCTGTTGGATCTGATGGATCTGATGGATCTGATGGATCTGATGGATCTGTTGGATCTGTTGGATCTGATGGATCTGTTGGAGCGGGTACAGGGCCTTGATGTGGGCCATGACCAGTCTCTCCAAGCACTTCATGATGACGAGGTCAGCGTGACGGGGCGATAGTCATTTGGACATGTCATCTTGTTTTTCTTGGGCACTGGGATGATGGTGGTCTCCCTGAAGCAGATGGGGACTACAGCCTGGGACAGGGACAGGTTGAAGATGTCCAAGAAGACGCCAGCCAGCTAGTCAGCAATCTGAGGACTTGGCCAGGGATGCCATCTGAGCCGGCGGCTTTGTCGGTATTCACTCTTTTGAGAGTTTTCCTCACGTCAGCCACGGAGAGCGAAAGCACCTGGTCGTCCGGAGCAGCAAGAGTCTTCCTGGATGGCTCAGTATTGTCTGCCTGGAAGCGAGCACAGAATGTGTTAAGCTCGTCTGGGAGGGAGGCTTCAGTGGGCTCCGCACAGCTGGATTTGCCTTTGTAGTCTGTGATAGTCTGTAGTCTACATGCGTCGCGAGTCTGAGTTGTCGAACATCCATTCAAGTTTGAGTCTATTGTCTTTTTGCTCGTACCTGCTAGCCTTGTTCACGTCACGTGCCACCGAGTCATCGGGGTTCATTCTGCTGACATTAAATGCTGCAGTATGGGCTCGCAGCATTGTAAGGATATCTCAGACAGACAGACAAGGTAAGCCGGGCGTACACCACATGATTTTGGCCCCGATTTAGCTTTCCTAGACACGTTTTTAAGATCAGAGACAAAATCCCAATGTTGTTGCCTACTCGGGCATGCGGACATCACCGAGCGGGTCAGACACGCAATCTGAGGCTCCCGATCCTCTCTTTGAGCAGTCCCAGACGTCCCGATTTTTTTCAAACGTTTGATTTTATCGGCATAAAATCTGCAATGCTTTTGTAGTGTGAAATATGCAATGACAAGTTTTGAGAACAGCGACCAGCAATAGCCAACGAGAGCTCAGAGAAGAAGCCAGTGAGATGATGCCGTTGTTTCCCATCACCCAGAGCGTGGAGACTCTGGAGCAGGAGCCATGACTACCTTGGTATTCCCTCTGGAGCAGGAGCCATGACTACCTTGGTATTCCCTCTGGAGCAGGAGCCATGACTACCTTGGTATTCCCTCTGGAGCAGGAGCCATGACTACCTTGGTATTCCCTCTGGAGCAGGAGCCATGACTACCTTGGTATTCCCTCTGGAGCAGGAGCCATGACTACCTTGGTATTCCCTCTGGAGCAGGAGCCATGACTACCTTGGTATTCCCTCTGGAGCAGGAGCCATGACTACCTGGTATTCCCTCTGGAGCAGGAGCCATGACTACCTGGTATTCCCTCTGGAGCAGGAGCCATGACTACCTGGTATTTGCTCTGGAGCAGGAGCCATGACTACCTGGTATTCCCTCTGGAGCAGGAGCCATGACTACCTGGTATTCCCTCTGGAGCAGGAGCCATGACTACCTGGTATTCCCTCTGGAGCAGGAGCCATGACTACCTGGTATTTGCTTTAGCCAACGTGTCAAACGGTTACAGCTCTGATATTCACAAGCAATGTTATTCAATTCAAAATGTATTGGCTATTAGATATTTCAACTTTGTATGGCAAGCGTGAATGTCTGACTGAAACCGTTTGACTCTGCTTTGAGCCACATCTCGTTCTAGCTACGTTAAGAGCGTGGTATCGAGAATCCTTACAACCAAGGCTCTTGTGCGCACCAATACGTATGTTGGAAAGACAAAACTACAGGAAAGGCGGTCGTTGTGAGGCTCAGCAATGTTAGGATTTAGAAAGTCTTGTAGCCCGGCATTACCTGAAGCGTCCAGTCTCTGTGTTGTAGTCCTTGTTAACATCAGTGATGACGGAGGTGAATCTGATGACACTGGCCTTCTCTGGAGGGATGGCGGTGCCTCTGGCCACACTGAAGGCAGAATGTAGCTGAGACCCTGCTGAGCCCGACTCCCCTGGCTCTCCCCGGGGTCCCTCTGGCCCTGGGGATCCCTCTTCTCCTCTCACACCACTACGACCTGGCTTCCCAACCGCTCCCTTCACACCCGGCTCCCCCTTCTGGCCCTCATCTGGTCTCTGGCCTGGTCCAGATAGAACACCTGGATAGAAGAGGGAACGTTTTGAGATGTGAGTATTTACCCTGGAATGTATTTGGGAGGGGGGAGGAGGGGGGAGGAGGGGGGGTGTACCTGGCACTCCCTTTTCCCCCGTCTCTCCATCTCGTCCGTCCCTTCCTGGTAACCCTGGGATACCGGGCAGTCCAGGCGTCCCCGCCGACGGACACGTCTCCATGGTAACCAGGTCAGGCAGCGCCAATGAGAGCATAGCTCCTATAGCAATGCAAAGACAGACCATAGCAACCACTGAAGAGGAGAAGGGAATTGTGGAGAGTTGAGAGGGAGGAGAAGAGAAGATAGGAGAGGGGAGGGGAGGGGAGAGGAGAGGAGAGGAGAGGAGAGGAGAGGAGAGGAGAGGAGAGGAGAGGAGAGGAGAGGAGAGGAGAGGAGAGGAGAGGAGAGGAGAGGTAAAACTATCAACACCAGCAGAATGAACAAACTGAGTTGCTGAAATCTGTTTGTGTTAATTATGTCTATAACACAAAACCCTGTGTAAAGTATATCCAAAGAGAGAAAGTCATACTGATTTAACAACTCTATCAACAAATTCAGTTCAACTGTTATGAACCCTGTGACACAAACTACAGCAGCAGAGGACAGAAGTTAATTTATTACCACTGGTTATGTCCGGTTATATCGCAGATTAGTTAAAACAGACTTACCTGCAGTAGAGAAGATTCACAATACTGTACAATACTGTATGCTGTGTGATTGTAGAGAGAGAGAGAGAGAGAGAGGAGAGAGAGAGAGAGAGAGAGAGAGAGAGAGAGAGAGAGGAGAGAGAGAGAGAGAGAGAGAGAGAGAGAGAGAGAGAGAGAGAGAGAGAGAGAGAGAGAGAGAGAGAGAGAGAGATGTTACGTAAAATGAGGAGAAAAAAAAGAGGAACTGGAACAAAAGTGGAACCTCTAGTCACATCTGCATCCTCAGCAGGTTTCACATCTCCAGGGCCACGGTCACGTGTGCGTGTGTGTGTGTGAAAAATAAACTCTACATCAGGGTAGACTCTTCAACTGAACGCTGCTTGCACCCGCCCACTCGACTAGAATCACTACTCTCGGCGGGTCTGACCTAGAGTATGTGGACAACTACAAATACCTAGGTGTCTGGTTAGACCGTAAACACTCCTTCCAGACTCACATTAAGCATCTCCAATCAAAAGTTTGATCTAGAATCGGCTTCCTATTTTGCAACAAAGCCTCCTTCACTCATGCTGCCAAACATGCCCTCGTAAAACTGACTATCCTACCGATCCTTGACTTCGGCGATGTCATTTACAAAATAGCCTCCAACCTTCTACTCAGCAAATTGGATGTAGTCTATCACAGTGCCATCCGTTTTGTCTCCAAAGCCCCATACACTACCCACCACTGTGACCTGTACGCTCTTGTTGGCTGGCCCTCACTACGTATTTGTCGCCAAACCCACTGGCTCCAGGTCATCTATAAATCACTGCTAGGCAAATCCCTGTCTTATCTTAGCTCACTGGTCACCATAGCAACACCCACCCGTAGTATGCGCTCCAGCAGGTATATCTCACTGGTCATCCCCAAAGCCAACACCTCCTTTGGCCGCCATTCCTTCCAGTTCTCTGCTGAAAATGACTGGATCGAATTGCAAAAATCTCTGAAGCTGGAGACTCTTATCTCCCTCACTAACTTTAAGCATCAGTTGTCAGAGCACCTTACCGATCACTGCACCTGTACACAGCCCATCTGAAATTAGCCCACCCAACTACCTCATCCCCTTATTTTGCTCATTTGCACCCCAGTATCTCTATTTGCACATCATCTCTTGCACATCTATCACTCCAGTGTTAATACTAAATTGTAATTATTTTGCACTATAGCCTATTTATTGCCTTACCTCCATAACTTACTACATTTGCACACACTGTATATATATTTTCTGTTGTATTTTTGACTTTATGTTTTGTTTACCCCATATGTAACTCTGTGTTGTTGTTTTTATCGCACTGCTTTGCTTTATCTTGGCCAGGTCGCAGTTGTAAATGAGAACTTGTTCTCAACTGGCTTACCTGGTTAAATAAAGGTGAAATAAAATAAATAAATAAAAACTGAGGCAGGTCTTCCTCCTTTCATATTTCTAGATCCTGACAAACCCCCCAGTCCCTGGCAGTGACAGCCATAACCATACCATGATGCTGATGACAGGATCAATACAGAATCAATAGAAATATGAAAGGAGCAACGTGTGACTGTGATATGTGGTTGTCTCACCTAGCTATCTTTTTTGTAGATGAGTTTTAATATTGCAGATAGATGGTAGATTCCAATGTAATTGTCTGCACCATTTCCAATCCCCCATATATATTTTTTGTAGATATATGTATATATATAAAATATATGTATGTATATATATAAAATATATATATGTATATATATAAAATATATATATGTATATATATAAAAAATATATATGTATATACAGTACCAGTCAAAAGTTTGGACATACCTACTCATTCAAGGGTTTTTCTTTATTTTTACTATTTTCTACATTGTAGAATAATAGTGAAGACATCAAAACTATGAAATAACACATATGGAATCATGTAGTAACCAAAAAAGTGTTAAACAAATCAAAATATGTTTTAGATTTTAGATTCTTCAAAGTAGCCACCCTTTGCCTTGATGACAGCTTTGCACACTCTTGGCATTCTCTCAACCAGCTTCACCTGGAATGCTTTTCCAACAGTCTTGAAGGAGTTCCCACATATGCTGAGCACTTGTTGGCTGCTTTTCCTTCACTCTGCGGCCAACTCATCCTAAACCATCTCAAATGGGTTGAGGTCGGGGGATTGTGGAGGCCAGGTCATCTGATGCAGCACTCCATCACTCTCCTTCTTGGTCAAATAGCCCTTACACAGTCTGGAGGTGTGTTGGGTCATTGTCCTGTTGAAAAACAAATGATAGTCCCACTAAGCCCAAACCAGATTGGATGGCGTATCGCTGCAGAATGCTGTGGTAGCCATGCTGGTTAAGTGTACCTTGAATTCTAAATAAATCACAGACAGTGTCACCAGCAAAGCACCCCCACACCATAACACCTCCCCTTCCTTTCGGGTACAGCGGAACCGTTAAACCAACCTCCTAAAACGGGGTGGAAACCAAAACTCAATTTGGATCCAACGATTTCAAGCTAAGGGCCTGTCGTTTCTTCCCAGAGCTTTCTTCTTTTTTGTCCCTTAGAGGGGTTTTTTGAGTCGACCATGAGGAACACACGTCTCCTGGGATTAAGTGTTGTGACTTCCTTGAAATTGGGTGCAAGGGGCAGTTACGCAAGATTTGAGCAAAACTATTTTTTTCCTTGGGTCTCATGACCAGTTTTCAACCAATGTTTTTGGCTTTAAATTTAATTCTAAATTAGAATCGTTAAATAAAATGTTTGTTTTCCCTTTTGTTATTGAGTGTTCTTTGCATACCCCCTACCTAGTTTTTTCAAGATAAAAGCCCCTTCCTTAACCCAGACTGTGGAAAACCCCTGACTTTAAACCGGGAAACTCCCCAAAAGTGCTTTAACTAATTACAAGAATTTGTTTTAACCATTTTTTGGTTAACAAACCGGATTTTTGGTCAAATTTACTTAGATGTAATTAAGAAAATTGAATTATAGTTTCAAAAATTTCTTCCTTTTCCCAACACCGCTTTTCCCAAACCCTTTCCTCCGGCGTTCCCCCGGGACCTCTAACGGACGTTACCTCTACCAGGGTTCCCTCTACCAGACTGTTACCCTAACCGGACTTTCCCTAACCGACTTCCCACGGTTTTATTAAACACCCCCAGACTTTTACTCTCACAGACGTTACCCACCTTCTACCAGGACGTTACCCTAACCAGACGTTACCTCTACCAGGACGTTCCCTACAGATGTTCCTCTAACAGACTTTCCCTACCAGACTTCCTCTAACAGACTGTTACCTCTAACCAGGATTTACTTAACAGGACGTTACTCTACCAGACTGTTACCTCTAACCAGACGTTACTCCCACCCCTCTAACCAGGCGTTACCTCTACCCAGGACTGTTCCTCTACCGGACTGTTCCAAACCAGACTTTCCCTCTAACCAGGACTGTACCTCAAACAGGCTGTTACCTCTAACCAGACGTACCTCTACAGGACGTTTTAACCGAGTCTAACAGGACTTTTACCTCTAACCAATGTTACCTCTAACCAGGACTTTTACCTAACCCAAAGACGTTCCCTCAAACCCAGGCCCGTTACCTCTACCAGGAAACTGTACCTCTACCGAACTGTTCCCTTTCAACCGGAATGTTACCTCTAACCAGACTTTTCCTCTAACCAGGACTTTTTACCTCTACCCAGACGGTTACCCAACCAGGCCCTGTTCCCTCGACCAGGACTGTTCCCCCTTCACCGGACGTTCCCTCTACCAGGGCTGTTACCTTAACCAGGACTGTTCCTCTAACCAGGACTGTTCCCTCAAAACAGGACTGTTCCACCTCTAACCAGGACTTGTTACCTCTAACCGGAGTTTACCTCTACCAGGCTGTTCCTCTAACCAGGACTTTTACCTCTAACAGGACTGTTTCCTCTAACCAGGACTGTTACCCCTCTAACAGGACTGTTACCTTCTAACAGGATGTTTACCTCAAACCCAGGACTTTAAACCTTAAACCAGGATGTTACCTCTAACCAGGATGTTACCATCAACCAGGACTGTTTCCCTCTAACCAGGACTTTTTCCCTCTAACCAGACTGTTACCTCTAACCAGGACTTTTACCTCTAACAGGAACGTTACCTCAACCGGACTGTACCTCAACCAGGGACCGTACCTCTCCAGGAGGGTTTTACCTCTACCAGGAACTGTTATTAACAGACCGTACCTCTAACCGGGACTGTTACCTCTAACCGGACTTTTAACCTCTAACCAGATGTTACTCAACCGGACTTTTACCTCAACCAGGACGTTCCCCTCTACCAGACGTTACCCAAACCAGGACTGTTACCCTCTAACCAGGACGGTTACTCTAACCAGAACTGTTACACCTCTAACCAGGACTTTTTACCACTTCCCTTCTAACCAGGACGTACCTCTACCGGGGGACTGTTACCTCTAACCCAGGCCCGGTTACCTCTAACCAGGACGTTACCTCTAACCAGGACTTTACCCTCTAACCGGGACTGTTACCTCTAACCAGACGTTACCTCTAACCAGACTGACCTCTAACCGGACTGTTCCCTCTACCTCTTACAGGACTGTTAACCTCTAACCAAGACTGTTACCTCTAAACCGGGACTGTTACCTCTAACCGGACTTTTACCTTAACCAGGACTGTTACCTCTAACCAGGACGTTACCTCTAACCAGGACTGTTACCTCTAACCAGGGCTGTTACCTCTACCAGACTGTTCCCCTCTAACCAGGACTTTTACCTCTAACCAGGACGTTACCTAACCAAAGGACTGTCCTCTAACCAGGGACTGTTACCTCTAACCAGGACTTTTACCTCACCGACTGTTACCTCTACCAGGACTGTTACCACCCCCCTCTCACCAGGACTTTACCTTCTACCAGACTGTTACCTCTACCAGGCTGTTACCTTAACCAGGCCCTGTTACCTCTAACCAGACTGTTACCCTCTAACCAGGACTGTTCTACCTCTAACCAGGACTTTTAAAACCTCTAACCAGGACTGTTTACCTCTAACCAGGACTGTTCCCCCTCTAACGGGACTGTTCCTCTAACCAGGACTT